TGCCTGAGTATTTCTCCCTCTGAGGTCTTTGACTACTACACTATTCCCCACCCTATCTTGTTTATTTCCTTTATGGCATCTCTCGTGATACGGAAGTTTACTTCTCTCTTGTCTGACCCTCCTGCTGCAGTGCGATAAGCTCCACGAGGACTTTTTCACCGCGGCCTCCCCAGCACAAATCACAGAGTCTGGATGAAGTGTCACAATTCAGAGCCCTGTAATCAAGAAGGTGACATTCCAATCTAGCTATGATTCCCATTCCCTCCTATTCAACAGGCATTTATTTATTTATGACTATATGATCCACTCACTAAAAGGTGATTTTCAAGGCAGGTTCTTAAGAAGACTATTTATGGAAGGCAAAGTCTTGCTGTGCTCAGTGGAGACTGAGTTAAGATCCACTGTTCCCTTTTGGGGGGGCGGGGCGTGGGTGGCGGGTGCTATTTGTACTCAGGAGGAGAAGAGCCATTGGTTAGTGTGATAAAGGGTAAAGCCCTCCCTCCCGATCTGGCATCGCTTCCCTGTATGCTCTGTCTTGGCATGTTCTAGTGACTGCCAGCCTCTGCCCAGGGGCAGCTAGGCCAGGGGAATAAGCCCCAGCGATGAGCATTGACAGGGAACTTCCCTGGTGGTCTGGTGGTTAAGACTCTGCACGTCCAATGCAGGGGACATGGGTTCAGTCCCTGGTCAGGGAAGTAAGATCCCACATGCTGTGAGGTGCAGCTAAAACAAAAAAAAAGTCAACAAAATAGCTTAATCTCACTCTCTCTCCTAATGCTAACTGGTACCTCCCTTATGGGTCTTCCTTGGTAGCTCAGCTGGTAAAGAATCCAGCTGAAATGCAGGAAACCCTGGTTTGATTCCTGTGTAAGGAAGATCCCCTGGAGAAGTGATAGGCTACCCACTCCAGTATTTTTGGGCTTCTCTAGTAGCTCAGATGGTAAAGAATCCACCTGCAGTGGGAGAGACTGGGGTTCGATCCCTGGGTTGGGAAGATCCCCTGGAGGAGGGCATGGCAACCCACTCCAGTATTCTTGCCTGGAGAACCCCTGTGTACAGAGGAGCCTGGTGGGCTAAAGTCCATGGGGTCACAAAGAGTTGGACCTGACTAAGCACAGCACAGCACCATCCTTATAATTTGTCTCTTAACTGCCTCTTTTGTTGAAATTGAGCTGCAATATGGTCTATTTTTGTCTTTCTTTCTTTCTTTTTTTTTTTTATTAGTTGGAGGCTAATTACTTTACAATATTGTAGTGGTTCTTGTCATACATTGACATGAATCAATTTTTGTCTTTCTTTATCTGTAAATACTGTGCAACTTTCTTCTGACTTTCCAGCCTAATCCTACACATTTCTGTGATACTCTTGCCCTTAACTTTGACTTCCAATCTCTCTCCTGATCTGGTTCATCCCTGTAGTGCTGTCAGGCCCCTGCTGAAGTTCTCTGTTTTTGTCTGGGAAGCAGAAACCAAAGGGCAGGTGTCTCCAGTGTTCCTTCCTCTGCCTCTGACCGGCCTGATCAGCAGCCCCTTTCTGGTATAGTAGCTGCAGTGCCACCTGTGCAAAGGGACAGTGCTTGGGGCCTACAGGGGCCTTAAGGACATTGGTTTTGTCATCAGACAGATGTTACAATTCTGGTCTCATTTTTTCTAGCTTTATAATATGATGCAAGTCACAACTGGTTTGACCTTTGATTTCCAGTAAAATTGAAATAATAAAACCTCATGATTATTATTGTGAGAATTAAATGTAGAATGTACAATGGACTGGGCATAATTCTGGCACACAGAACATAGAAGCTCAATCCAGCTATTTCTTCAGAACAGTGTAGGGGGGGTTCTTCACTCTCAAATAAGGAAAGCCTAAAAACACATCATTAGCTATTTCTTCTTTGGAAAAAGTGTTCCATTTGCAGTCCTTGACAGAAATGAATAAACTCTGAGGCCATTGTATCCATCAGGGTTTTATAGGAAATATATGGCATACTCAGAAAGTTTTAACTAAAGAGATTTTAATAAAAGATATGGGCAGAATCGAAGGAACTCATAAAAGACGAGGAAGCACTCAGGGAAAAATAAAACTGTGCAATTTCAATGGTAGAAAATAATCTGGAATAAAATTGCAGCTCATTTTTGAGCTCCTACCCTGTGTTAAGTTATGTGCTAGGCTAGCTGATAGGCCCACAAGAGCTTAGAGTCAAGTTCAGGGTAGGTAACACACAAACTGTTAACCACTGTGGTGCTTACACGTTAGCTTGCATCAGAAACAGGTGTTGGACTTGATAAAATGCAGACTGCTGGGACCCAGCCCTAGAATCTCTGATTCAGAGGGTCTGGGATGAGGCTGAGAAGTTGCATTTACAATAAATTCTCAAGTGACGCTGATGCTGCTGGTCCAGGCCAATGCTTGCAGAATCATGGAACTATGATGGTGTAACAGGAAAATAAATACAACTCCCCCCTAGAGTTTGGGGGGCAAATGCCTCAAATTCAGAGAACAGTAAGTGGCAGGCCACCTGTGCAGAAGAAGCTAAGTGTATGAAAAATAATTTCTGTAGCTACTCTGTCTTCAAAGTGGTAGAGCAAAACTTCCCACTATGTGAGCTTAACATAGTGACTTCCTTCCAAAGGGTACAGTGTTGAAAGAGGGAAATACGAAGAGTAACTTTCCAGTGGAGAAACTGAACAACATTACCTCAGCCAGTTGGTCAAGGTCAATATCAACAGTAAAGTTAATGCAGACAGTATGTACTCTTGATACAATGTGATGAGAATGGCAGTTTACATGTGTAGTCTTCTTCCTTAAAACCTAGTGTATAACTCTAGTGTAATATGAAATGTTCTCAATTGGGGACATTCTACCAGATAACCTGATCAGTACACCTCAAAACTAGCAAGCTCATCAAAACCAAGTTTGAGAACGTTTCACAGCTAAGGGGGTCCTGAGGTGACACAAGGCCAGACATTGGCAGATGGATTCTCTACCACTGCGCCACTTGGGAAGCACCCTTCCCACCAAATAATGAACTGAATAAAGTATGAAAGTGAAAATGAAAGTGAAGTCACTCAGTTATGTCTGACTCTTTGTGACCCCATGTACTGTAGCCTACCAGGCTCCTCTGTCCATGGGATTTTCCAGGCAAGAATACTGGAGTGGGTTGCCATTTTATTCTCCAGGGGATCTTCCCAACCCAGGGATCAAACTTGTATCTCCTGCTTNCGACAGAGGATGAGATGGTTGGATGGCATCACCGGCACAATGGACATGGGTTTGGGTGGACTCCAGGAGTTGTTGATGGACAGGGAGGCCTGGCATGCTGTGGTTCATGGGGCTGCAAAGAGTCAGACACGACTGAGTGACTGAACTGAACTGAACTGAACATATACACAATGGAATATTACTCAGCCATTAGAAAGAATGCATTTGAATCAGTTCTAATGAGGTGGATGAAACTGGAGCCTATTATATAGAGTGAAGTAAGTCAGAAATAAAAACACCAATGCAGTATATCAACGCATATATATGGAATTTAGAAAGATGGTAATGACAACCCTATATGCGAGACAAGAGACACAGGTATAAAGAACAGACTTTTGGACTCTGTGGGAGAAGGTGAGGGTGGGATGATTTGAGAGAATAGCATTGAAACATGTATATTATCATATGTGAAACAGATCACCAGTCCAAGTCTGATGCATGAAACAGGGCACTCAAAGCTGGTGCACTGGGACAACCCAGAGGGATGGGATGGGGAGGGATGTGGGAGGTAGGTTCAGGATGGGGACACATGTGCACCCGTGACTGATTCATGTCAATGTATGGCAAAAACCACCACAATATTGTAAGGTAATTAGCCTCCAATTAAAATAAATAAATTAATTAAAAAAAAACATATTTTGCAACCTATTAAAAAAAAGTTGGGGACTTCTGTGGAGGTTCAGTGGTGAAGACTCCATGCTGCCAATGCAGGGGTACAGGTTTGGCCCCTACTTAGGGAACCATGCCCCATGGCATGGTCAAAAGAATGAAAAATTTTTTTAAATAAAATTAAATTATGTTTGTTTGGAAAAAAATTCCTGTGGACTTGAATATCTCTGAGGCAAGGTGACCATCAAAAAAGGACCCCACTGGGTGGATGGCCAGAAGCGTGGGTGAAGGGATCATTCGTGGCCAGTTGGGAGAAGTTAACTTGTTCAGGGGATGACAGTAACATGGCCCAGGTGGCAGAGGACAAGTAGAGAGATTTTCTGAACACCGCTTCCCTGCCAATCCCTGCAAAGTAAAGAGACAACCTGTGGCCACTGGGCATGCACAACTGGCCTTGACCCAGCATACTACCACATTAGCCATGTGATATGGGAATTTTCCACTAAACTCACTAATGTCACTCCCAGTTCCCTGTGCTTTCTGTTGAATGACTGACAGAATCAATGATTGATAGTAGATCTGTCTACACTTTACGTTTCTGCAAGCCTACATCATCAGTTAGTATCTGAGAATGCTATAAAAACTATAGGGTCACTCCAAGGTTACCCAAGGCAATAGAGGGGGAGAAATAAAAAGCTATTCAAAAGTGCAAGTTTAAAAGACAATAATGACCAAAAATACTCAAGTTACTTTCTGCTTGTATCCTAATGTGTTCAGATTGTTCAAATAATTCTTTACAATTCATAGTGCTGTGTTTTGTTGAAGATATACGGGTAAGAAGGGTAGAAGAATTATAGAGACAGCAGTGGATTAGAGTGATGAAAAGAGTTTTCCACATGAAAAGGCCACTAAGGAGGGCTGCATTAAAGCAAAAAAGAGGAGTTTCCAGGCTGCAAGTCTATGTGCACACAGGCGAACACACACACACACAAACACACACACTCCACAAGAGAACACAGGAACTAAGGGAGGACCATGATCAGCAGATACCTGGTGGTACAGCATGTATTACCCAGGGTGTTCACAGGGGCAGGGGGCGGCATTCAATACAGCTGGAGGCTGAAAATATATATATGTTACCTGTTCCTTGTTAAGAAGTGATTTGTGGTAAAGAGTCTACAATAACTAGTCCAAGAGAAGATTGATGTGGACTTCTCATGGGGAAGACGAGGAGATGGGTCAAGTCGACATTTCTTGAGTACAATGAATTCATCCTGGAGATCTTAGGATGTGGGGTATAAAGGAGACACAGAAATCAGAGCTGCCTCTCAGTTTCAAGATCTGATGCTATTCATTAATGATACCAAAAACTAGTATGGGGAAATCAGTTAGGAGAGCAGGTCAAATGTGGGTCAGTGTGTGTTTCAGAGTGGTCAGCTCAGTTTGAGATTTTTATGAGACATCCAGAAAAATGATTCTATCATGTAGAGTGTGAGTTAATTTATTAGTGAAGTTATATGCTTTCTTGCAATCCTAGATAAAATGTGCCTTCCTCTCAACTCTGCTTTGACACCTCTTTATTCGTATTTTTCTGTGGTCCCTCATCTCTCTCCAAAGCATAATTGTTCACGCCTTTCTGTTTGTCATCGATACTGAAAAAACCTCAAATGTAGCACTTAAATCAGTGTCAGTGGTTCCTTGTTGGCTTCCCCCACAGTAAAGAGCCGTTTGCAGCAAGGAGCTAACGTTGAGCCCTTCACTCAGCCTGGAACACATGAGGTGCTCAATAGATACTGTTGAACAAATGAGTGAGGAGATTTGGCTTCCTGTGAAACAAGAAGGTCCTCTGTGGTGTGAGAGCATGAAGAGTGGAAGAGGAAAAGGGAATGAAGTCTAGAGAGACGATGAAGGATAAAGTGAGGGTGAAGGATGGGCCTGGCAGCTCTTGGGTGTGCTATCAGCATCACCCCAGAGCAGGTGGGACGTTGGTGGTGAGCGGCACTCTCAGTGCCCTAACCTTGTTTGATGTCACCACTGTTTCCTGGTTATTCTTTAAAAAAAAGAAAGATTCGCTTATTTTTGGCTGTGCTTGGTCTTCCCTGCAGTGTGAGGGCTCTCCTGGTTGTGGAGAGCAGAGCCTGCGCTCTAGTCGCGGTGCAGGTGCTTCTCATTGCCACGGCTTCTCTTGTTGGGAGCTCAGGCTTCAGCAGCTGTGGTGCACGGGCTTAGCTGCTCCACGGAATGAGGGCTCTTCCTGGACCAGGGGTGGAATCTGTGCCTTCTGCATTGGCAGGCAGATTCTTTGCCGCTGAGCCGCCAGGGAAGCCCAGCTTCCTGGTTACTCTCTCTTGATGAAGGACACAGGGCCAGTGTGACACTGTATGGAGGGGTGGACACATGATCTTTTTGGAGGAACCTTCAGTGAGACCTGGTGTATCATCTGGTATTTGAGCCACACTGTTTTTCGGCATCTCGGGCAGGTTAACTTTGTTCAGCTCCGTTTTCTGTACATCAGAGCTCTGCTGAATGAGTGGAGCCCAGCACAATGTGAGTGCCAGCCATACACATGATTTAAATGGAACCAATTTTCTCCTCACTCAAAGTTCCTCTGAGGAAGAAATCAAATGATTTCATTGGCTGGGAATTTATAGTTCTCAAAGAGCCATAAATGAACAAAATGAATAGAAATGGTGTTCATAGGAAGTAGGCACATGGATAGTTTAAACTTTTAGTTGTAACAGTCTTTTAAGAATGCAAATTGTTAATTAACAGATGTACACTTAAGTGCCTGAGATCTAAGTAAGACCATATGCAGAAATGAAGAAAATGGCCAACAGGCCCTGCCCGCCTTCAATTGAAATCTCTCCAAATAAGCCAAAAATTTCTTGAATTAATATCTAACAAAGCAAAATTTACCTTATAATTCACAGGGCAGTTGATTTCCTATAACTCTAGTTCCTAATATACTGATATTATACTGCTATATTAAAGATATTTAATACTTAGGGATATGGTCAACACACATTGTTCTGAATGGAGCATTTTGTGCTCTACTTAAAATTTGTATTATTAGTTATTCATTCCAGCCAAAGAGTATCTACTGCTGGGGAGATGGAACAGAAATAGTATACATTTCTTTTCTACCCAACATGAAGTACAACTTGAATCAATTTCTTGTATACAAACAATGCTAAAGCAACCTAAGAGAGATAATTGTGTACTTGGCATTGCTTGAAACCACAGAAAGGGAGTAAAGTGGTGTCACAATATGGAGCAAAGACTAACCTTCAGTCTGATAATCCAGCCCAGGGGCTTAGAGCTCTAGGCTGGGAGCTCTTGGAGGCTTAAAGAAGACTGTATTTTCTGTAAAGAGCTTGCCTTTGAATGGACAGTGGAAAAGATGACATGTAACATAAAACCATAAGAAATATGAAGATTCAGGATACTAACACCTGGAAGAAAAATATAACCTTATGCAATGAGTCGATAACTCTATGCATTCCTTAACTCTTATAACCTTTCCTCTCTTAGCTAGAAACAACTCAGCTTCTCTTGGACAATCAGCTCAGTAACATTTTCCCCAATCACTATCAGAGACCTACAGTCAAGCCAAGCCTGAGTATAAATTGTCAAGTAGGTACAGAACCCACTATGGGTGGAGACCCTGGTTTCCCTTCTCCATCTTTACCACCAGTAACCCAGCTAGAGAACTGACATTTTTGAGATCTTGCTATTTACTACATACCAGGCATGGTGAAAGGCATTTTTTCCTCATACTCTTTTCCCTCCAGTTAAAACCTGTTTTTAGAGGAGGATCTAATGTATTTAATTAGTCAATTAATAATTAATAATAAGTAAATAAATGAGAAGTCATGTGTTAGGGTGACTATTATATTTCCATTTTAATAAGACTTGATCTTGAGCACAAGTGGACAAGACTAGAGTCTTGGGGAAATGGCAAAATTATCGAGCGAGTTATAGGGGGTTGTGACTTTAAAATGTTGACAAATGCTGTCTTGGGCCAATGACCTGATGTCCACTAATGACATCATGAACAGCTCTCTGGGGAGAGATCACACCACTGGAAGTCCACTGGAAGTTCCTACACACACCTGCCTCTGGCCCTGGGTCTTTGGAGCCACCTGAGTGGTGGGATCCATCCCATCTCTGTTTTCACTTGTAGGCTGTTCACATTTACAAGTCCCCTGGCTTTCCTTAAAACATAAAGCCTATACTGAAGGCTGTATTCTAGAACCTTCATTCCAAGAAATACCTTCAGTGAGCACCTAGAAAAGCACTTGAATCTCCTGGGGGCTCCCAGCTTTCCAGACCAATATTTTCATATGGTTGCAAGTCTGTTTGTGTTGTGCATGCAGAAATAAAAATATTATTTCCCACAATATCAACTATGTCTCTCATCCTTCGATGTAAAAGTTAAGCTAGTAAGCTTCTGTAATATTTCACAGAATCTTGCTTGAATGCAGCCCAATTTTCTCCTGAAATAAAATTCCATTTTAAGCATTAGAATTTGTATGCCAAATTTGGCCCTTTAAAAATAATGGAAAATATAAATTTTTACTACTGAGTTATAGGCTTTGGAAAAGAGAAGGTTAGTAATGAAAAATGGCATACAAACTGAATAACTAATGCCAATAACGGATGATACCATCTCAACAATGCATCTTACACACGGCAGGACTAACATTCAGGTCACATCAGAGCTCAGTTTTGAATGAAGTGGAAGCTTGCTCACTCAGCACCTTTGGTTTTCAGACTCTATTATCTTGCTTACTTAGGAAATTTAATGTTGTGTAATTTATTTTTTTATCGCTTCATTTGAAAGTCTCTCTTCAAAACAAGGTATCTTTAAGGGCTTTGACTGTCTTTTACACTCAGATACCTATTTTTATAAAAGGATAAGAACTCTTTTTAAAGAAGATGAGCAGCAAACACTACAAAGTATTGAAATCAAGAAAAAAATGCCACACTGTGTTCTAAAATTACCAAGATGAGGATGGACTGAGGGCCTGGAGAATTGCAAAAGCTGTTGAGCAGCGAATACTGTCTTCAAGGAGAAGACCTCTATCAAAATATTAAAAGAAAACACATTCCCATCAGCATTTTTCTCTTCACGAAGGATTAGAGTCTTTTTATAACTGATTTGCTCAGATATCCTTTCTCTAATTAGAGTGTGTACTTACTTGTGTTTTTTCAGTTAGCACAACTCCTATTATTCTTCCTCTCTTCCACCTTTCTAACGCTGGTCCAAAACTGCCATTACTGTGAGGTGAACCTGACCTTGTAAATCAGCAATGGATTGTACTGCTCACAAAAAGACAAACATAAAGGAACACATTCTACAAATCTGAAAATCTAGAAGCCCAATATCAGGAAAACAAAAATGGCAATAATTAGAAAATCCAGTTAAGTTTAAGTTCAAACCTATATAAACAAGAGTGTGTAAACACTGGGTATTTGGCAAGCTATCTTAGGCATCTGTAAGAGATGGTCTTATCATTTTAAAAACTAAATCTGATAGCAAACAAGGATTTATAAAGAGCCTACTAGGTGTTCAGATTTGGGAAGAGACATGAGATGACATTAAACATTTCTCAATGGTCTAGGACCAGGTTGTTGTCCTCAGAAATGAACTAAATAGGAAGGGTAAGTGAACCAGATTTCCCTCATTACAAGTATGAGCACTCCTGTCTTCACACTGTGTATGTCACCGAAATAGAAACAGCTTGGTTTGCACCTATGTGTCCTACCTGCATATGACAATGAGGCCCTTGGAAGGTGGTGCAAAAGTTTCCAAGGTCATCTGCAGTGTTGCTGCTGGTATCTTGGGGAGACAGCAACATGCATTGGTCCTGAACTTGGACTCGGGCCGGATTACCTGAATTTGCATCCAATCTTCCTTGCTTACTCACTGTGTAACTCTAGGGCAGTTACTTAACAGTCCTGTACCTCATTTTCCTCAATTGAAAAATGGGGATAATAATAGAATAGAGTTATTCTGAAGATAGCTGAATTCATGTAGGAAGTGCTTAGAACAGTGCCTGCCAAACAAGCACTCAGTAAAACACGCTATGGTTATTTTTAATTTTTCCTTAAGGATGACAGAAAGATAAAAATGTCTGGTTTCTGATGGGAAGCTTTGCATCATCTATTGCTGTTTCTGGAAACAGCAAGGTTGCAAGTGGTCCCCCAGGTTACAATGCCTTTAGAATCTAGAGGAGGGAGGTTTGCTGATGATGTAATGCCGCTGGTAGAGAGAGGAGACCCTTATTGTTTTAACATCCTTATTTTCTCTATGGTCTTTATTTTCATTTGATTTCAGTTCCTCACATCTCTCCTTCTCAGTAGTGAATTGAGTTTTGACGTGGTTATTGTTAGGCCCGCTGTCCCCAGAGGCAGCTGCATATTAACAGCGTCAGTGCACCCTCCCCATCTCTTTCTTCTTAATTCAGCCTTAGGTACTGGCTCCTTGTTCCATCCTTCATTTCTTTTTAGCAGGCAGGCAGTCTCCCCTGCTGCTCCAGAGTGGTATTCTGCTCTGACAGCTAGTCTCACCATTTTGTCCAAATCCTTCATTTAAAAACTCACCTCATCCAAAAGACCTTTCCAGAATGAAAATGGTCTCTTACAGATAGCAAGTGACTGACTGGAAAACCACCATGTACTTCAGAACCCCTCCTTCTCATGCTCCTTTCTGTGGAGTTTCCCAGGTCAAATTTTCCCCATGTCTCTATCTTTTCCCCCTTTCCTTATAATCTTTCAGTTTCTTACTAATTGTTGTCTGTAATCATATAGATTCTTATTTTTAACTGCATTATATTTACCTGCATTTTCCATATGATGAACTTGATTTCTGGGGAGAGGGCATCCATTTTCCTGTTAGGAAACAAAAAAACACCAGACCAACTATATTATTTTAATCAGTGTTTCTCATCATGCCCATAGTTACTCTGTGAATATCTTCTTACTTCTCTCAATCAATCAGCTATTTATTGAATGCCTTGTTCTTGTTATTTTATTGCATTTAAGTTCAGGTTGATCAGCTTAATTGAAAAGAAAAGCCATGTAGTATTAAAAGATGATATTTTTGAGCAAAGGAGATGGCCAATTATATGTCTTATTTTTTAGTCTTTTGAAAACTAGATGGTAGACTTTATCTAACATTGTGTGGATTATGTTTTATAAATAGATTTGCATGAAAACATAAAAACCCAAACCAGATTGATTTCCATAAAGGTGAGTTCTATCTTAGAATATGCTTTCTCTCTCACACAGACTATGGTTCCCCAGCTCTAGCCCTGCCTCCACAGGAGGAGAATCCTTTAGGACCTAGTTGTAATTGCAGAGAGTCAGCAGTGAAAACTGACTTTTCTAGCTACATAAAACTGTTGTAAAAATCAACAGAGCAACACTCTCCCAGAAAACAAATGACAAAGAAATCACAGGGGCTAAAAGGCATGTGCTATGATAAGTTGAATAACCACTTCAAAGGAACTTTTTTTTTGGCAAGGTGAGAGGGGGGCAAATCATATTTTTTTCCCATAGCCTTGCCAGTTTTCTGGAGACATAGTTCCTGGTTTGAGTGTTTGGTAACTATTACATTATTGTATGATGGGTGTAAGATGTTCTGGGACCTCTTCTGCTATACTCTTTCCTTAAATTATCGTCAATCTTTTGCTTTTAGCTGGTTACTATGGTTAAACTCATAATGGCTTTTCATTTTGACAAACATTTAATTTTCCATAAAGGTACAGAACAGTTCGCTCTGACTCTCCTCTCAGAATTCCTTCTCACATTCCCTCTCTCAGAATTCCCTGTCACCACCTTCTCTCATGGCTTCCCAGGTGGCTCAGTGGTAAAGAATCCACCTGCCAATGCAGGAAACTCTGGTTTGATCCCTGGGTCCTCAAGATCCCTGGAAAAGGAAATGGCAACACACTCCAGTATTCCTGCCTGAGAAATCCTATGGACAGAGGAGCCTGGAAGACTATATGTAATACATGGGGGGGTCCTAAAAGAGTCAGAAACCAGTTAGCTACTAAACAATAACAAAAACTGGCACTTCAGTCAAAAATCCTTCACACTGTTACTAATTCAAAATTCCCTCTTGCACTCACTCACTCAAAATACCCCATCCTCCTTATCTCAGAATTCCCTCACTCATAAATCCCTCACACCATCTCAGGCTCAAAGTTGCCTACCAACCTCCTTCTCTCAGAAATCCATCTCACCTTCCTAGCCTCAAAATTCCAACAAACTTCCCATTCTCTCATAATTCCCTCTGACACTCCTCTCAGAATTCCCTCATATTCCCCCGCATTCTAAGAATTTCCTCATACTCTTTGACTGTCAGAATTCCATCTGAATCTCTTTCTTTCAGAATTCCCTCTGACTCTCCTAATGTGAGAAATCTCTAATCCTTTTTCTCTCAGAATTCCATCTCATCCTCCTTGTCTCAGAATTCCCTTATAATATCCTTCTCTCAGATCATTCATATCATTCTTCCCTCAGAGATCTCACTCACCTTAGTGCTTTCAGAATTACCTATAATCCATTTTCAATCAGAGATGCCTCCCATTTTGTTATCTCATAAACTGCATATACACTACATCTCTCAGAGTTCTCTTGAACATTCTGTTTTTCCAAGAATTCCTTCAGGCTCATGGTTCTCAGAATTCACTCAGAAACATCCATCTTTCTGTCAGAATTCTTTCAGCAATGTCCGTCTTTCTGTCAGAATTCTCTCAGAAAAGTCTGACTTCCTGTCAGAAACCTTCATCTTTCAGTCAGAAACGTCATCTTTCTGTCAGAATTCTCCCAGAAATGTCTGTCTTTCTATCAAAATATTTGTCTTTCCCTCAGAAACATCGTTTTTCTGTTAAAATTCTCTCAGAAACGTCTGACTTTCTGTCAGAATCATCCATCTTTCTGTCACAAACGTCCATTCTTTTTGTCAGAAACACCCGTCTTTCTGTCAGAATTCTCTCAGAAACGTCCGTCTTTCTGTCACTAACGTCTTTCTGTCAGAATTCTCTCAGAAGTCTGACTTCCTGTCAGAAACGTCCATCACTGAGTCAGAAACGTCATCTTTCTGTCAGAATTCTCCCAGAAACGTCTCTCTTTCTATCAAGACAGTCATCTTTCACTCAGAAACGTCATTTTTCTGTCAGAATTCTCTGAGAAACATCCAAACGTCCATCTTTCTCTCACAAACATCCTTCATTTTGTCAGAAACACCTGTCTTTCTGTCAGAAACATCTGTCTTTGTCAGAAATCTCTCAGAAACATCTGTCTTTCTGTCAGAAATATGTCTGTCAGAATTCTCTCACAAACATCCATCTTTCTGTCAGAAATGTCCATCCTTCCATCAGAATTCTCTCAGAAATGTCTGTCTTTCTGTCAGAGACATCTGTTTTTAATATGCCTTGCTTATTTTGCTCTTTGAAAAATGATGAACTCAATAATTTTGGAAATGAACACTTCTCTGGGGAGTAGAAACCATAAATTGCTGGTTCAGGAGGACAAAAGTTTAAGGACCTGAAAAATAGGGCAATGGGTTATAGAGGCACTGCTATTACAGCGTATCTCTTCCTTGAATGCAATCTGCATCAATATTGCATGTGCTATTTTCCCTTTCTATTTAATTTACTTTTCGAAGGACCTTTGCAGTGACCTAGTACCCTAGTTACTATGTTCTGCTGAAGACATTCTCCAGAGACCTGGGCTGCCTCTTTTAAGTGCTTTCTCAGTTAGTTGAACTCTTGGAACTTAGGACATGCCTCCAAAAATGATCCCAGGGCTCTCAGAGACAGTGGTTCAAAACACACTGAGAGCTCTTCTCTTAAGGTACTATACTGCTACTTAGATGAAGGAGAACCCACTGTGTTCTATAATTAGATATTTTCCCTTATTTCAGCAGAGAGAGAGATGAGGGAGACAGAAAGAGAAATGATGTAGGGAAGTAGTAGATACAGGTTTTCTTTTTTTGCCATCTTTATTTACACTCTCTACCCAGTCAATGGCAGCTGGTATATGTGTAAAAGCAGCAGTGTTAAAACACATGAAAAATAACATAATGTGGTATGATTTAAGTTGCTAAATATGAAATGAATGTCATGTGTTTGCATGGCTGGTTCAAAGGATGTACTATATTGGTTTATATAAAAATACATTGATATTCAGGGAACTCATTTATGGTAAAGTCTTCCTCTGCCTTTAAAGTATTTTAAATTTACCTTGTTAGCATTTTATATCATGTAAACATCTAAAGGGGAAAAAATGTTACCAAACACAAATAATCAACAACAGAGTAGTTCCCAGATAATTTTTTTTACATGTTTTATGATTACTTGAGAATGTTGTTCTTTTCTTAAAATTGCCTGTAGTAACCTACCCTAACAAACCACTTCAGTATTCTTGCCTTAAGAACCCCATGAACAGTATGAAAAGGCAAAAAGATAGGACACTGAATATGAACTCTTCAGGGTGGTAGGTGGCCAATATGCTACTGGAAATCAGTGGAGAAATAACTCCAGAAAGAATGAAGAGATGGAGCAAAGCCAAAAACAAACAAACAAACACCCAGTTGTGGATGTGACTTGTGATAGAAGTAAAGTCCGATGCTGTAAACAGCAATATTGCATAGGAACCTGGAATGTTAGGTCCGTGAATCAAGGCAAATTGAAAGCGGTCAAACAGGAGATGGCAAGAGTGAGCATCGACATTTTAGGAACCAGTGGACTAAAATGGACTGGAATGGGTGAATTTAACTCAGATGACCATTATATCTACTACTGTGGGCAAGAATCTCTTAGAAGAAATGGAGTAGCTATCATAGTAAACAAGAGAGTCTGAAATGCAGTACTTAGATGCAGTCTCAAAAACAACAGAATGATTTCTGTTCGTTTCCAAGGCAAACCNTAAAAGATGAAGCTCTGAAAGTGCTACACTCAATATGCAAGCAAATTTGGAAAACTCAGCACTGACCACAGGACTGGAAAAGGTCAATTTTCATTCCAATCCCTAAGAAAGGCAATGCCAAAGAATGCTCAAATTACTGCACAATTGCAGTCATATCACATGCTAGTAACTAAGAATAACACTCAACATAACTCCATTGTAGCCATGGAATATTTGTGGGTTTGGATTACTGGGGTGCTTGATCAATGGCTCAGATGATAAAACTACATAAAGGAGAATGGCTTGACTTTGAGCCTCTCTCAAGATAAAGGCTCTATCTAATACCTGATAAGGCCTCCAGCAGATAAGGCAAACTCACTGCTAAACTAGTCTCTAAATTAGAGAAAATGAACACTCATGCTCAGGGAAATGGGAATATCTGAATTGCTCTAGCTAGTGATAAGGGAAGAATTAAGGAGTCTCAGGAAGGTCAAACTCAGCAGTGGTCACAGGACTGGAAAAGGTCCATTTTCATTCCAATCCCTAAGAAAGGCAATCCCAAAGAATGCTCAAACTACGGGACAGTTGCACTCATCTCACATGCTAGCAAAGTAATGCTCAAAATTCTCCAAGCCAGGCTTCAACAAGACGTGAGCTGTGAACTTCCAGATGTTCAAACTGGATTTAGAAAAGGCAGAGGAAGGAGAGATCAAATTGCCAACATCTGTTGGATCATCGAAAACATCTACTTCTGCTTTATTGATTATGCCAACAGCCTTTGACTGTCTGGATCACAAGAAACTGGAAAATTCTGAAAGAGATGGGAATACCAGACCACCTGACTTGCCTCCTGAGATATCTGTATACAGGTCAAGAAGCAACAGTTAGAACTGGACATGGAATAACAGACTGGTTCCAAATCAGGAAAGGAATGTGCCAAGGCTGTATCTTGTCACCCTGCATATTTAACTTATATGCAGAGTACATCATGAGAAATGCTGGACTGGATGAAGCACAAACTGGGATCAAGATTGCCAGGAGAAATATCAATAACCTCAGGTATGCAGATGACACCACCCTTATGGCAGAAAGTGAAGAACTAAGGAGCCTCTTGATGAAAGTGAAAGAGGAGAGTGAAAAAGTTGGCTTAAAACTCAACATTCAGAAAACTAATATTATGGCATCTGGTCCCATCACTCCAAGTTAAATAAATGGGGAAACAATGGAAACAGTGAGAGACTTTATTGTTTTCGGCTCCAAAATCACTGCAGATGCTGACTATAGCCATGAAATTAAAAGACGCTTGCTCCTTGGAAGAAAAGTTATGACCACCCTAGAGAGCATATTAAAAAGCAGAGACATTACTTTGCCAACAAAGGTCCATCTAGCCAAAGCTTTGGTTTTTCCAGTAGTCATGTATGGATGTGAGAGTTGGATTATATAAAGAAATCTTAGTGCTGAAGAATTGATGCTTTTGAACTGTGGTGTTGGAGAAGACTCTTGAGAGCCTCTTAGACAGTAAGGAGAACCAACCAGTCCATTCTAAAGGAAATCAGTTGAATATTCATTGGATGGACTGATGCTGAAGCTGAAACTCAATACTTTGGCCACCTGATGGGAAAAACTGACTCATTTGAAAAGGCCCTGCTGCTGGGAAAGATTGAAGGTGGGAGGAGAAGGGGATGACAGATAATGAGATGGTTGAATGGCATCACTGACTTGATGGACATGAATCTGAGTAAGCTCCAGGAGTTAGTGATGGACAGGGAAGCCTGGAGTGCTGCAGTCCATGGGGTCGCAAAGATTCAGACACGACTGAGTGACTGAACTGACTGAACTGAACTTACTCTAGCAGGTTCTCTCATGTATTATAGAAACTGAAAGTCTGGAAATTAGATTTTTCAGACTCATTGGAATAGTGTGTGGAAGGTCAGGCACATTTTTCTTTTTGGAATAGCAGTAGTTTGATGTTGTTGGAATACAAAGGATGTCTCAGGATTATGGAGCTTTGAAAGGAGTTATAATAATGGCAGCACCAGGCACTATTTTAAGTGCTTCACATGTACTAACTCATTTATTCCAAACAACAGTCCCCTTTTAACAGATAAGGAAACTATGGCACAAGAAGATTAATTTCCTCAAGGTGCCATGTAGGAGATAATAGATGAGTTTTGTTTTATGGTGTCAGAGCCAGAAAATACCTTTAAGATGCCACAGAGTTTCCTCATTGAAGAAAATCTATAAAATTGTTCTAAAGCACATAAGAGAAGAACCAAATAAATACTGACAATAACAGGTCTCTCAGTGAAAAGTCCTCAGACTGTAAATGTTAATTCTCCCTGAATAAATCCATAAATTC